AGACTTTAAAATTACCATGACTCTTAATTTAAGCAAAGAGAGTTGTAATCTGATATATTGTGATGGCCTTTGATATTATTGTGAGACTTTTGACGACATGATATCACGATATTTCAGTTGCGGTTACGTCCTTAGTGGACACAGAATAAGACCCCATGGACACACGGGGAGGGCATACGGGGAGGGCATCTGACACACGGGGAGGGCATACGGGGAGGGCATCGGACACACGGGGAGGGCATCGGACACAGTATTTTGTAGTTTGTACACTGAATTGGGATCCTTAAAGATGCATTCTGTAGCTTTTCTGTAGCTTGTTGGGAGGTCTGCTTGTTTCCATGGAGATTTTATAAACAGAATATACCTTGTCTGTCTCCATGGAGACAGACTGAGTTACAGGTCAGATCAGCGGAGAGGCGACCATATCAAGAATTGCATGTTTTTGAGCAATTGAACAAATGAACCGAGTTTAATGCCATACAGTGGAGTGTTCCAGATAAAACAAAAACATTTCTGCGTTGAGAACCAGGGGGCAGATTCCACTCCAGAAAAGTTCCACAATGCACCTTTAAAGAACTGAAATAAACTCATGAAATCAATCTTTGACTTTGCATTTAATCTTTGCATCTGCCTGAGAGAATGACAAGCATTAAAATTTTAATCACCCATTCTTTTTCATTTTTTTTCAGCTCAGTCATTTAGCTGACAACACTTACACCTGATGCCCCTCCTTCAGCCTATTCACTACAGATTAGGTTTGATTTGGATATCTTTAGGTCAAAGGGTGAGTGTTTACAGACTACGCCAGCAATGCCACAAAAGACAATAATTCTGCTTTGTTACTAAGTCTAAACCAGGTCTAAACCAGGTCTTGTGTAATTGTATAATTATGCTTTATTTGACACTAGTCTCTTGCAACTTTTGCTATTATTACCATTTATTTTTTCCTCTTTGTTATGATATTATATTGTGATGTGTGAGCTACTGTGTCCAAATCATTTCCCTTGTGGATCAATAAAGTTTGTCTAAGTCTAAACCAGGTCTAAGCCCAGGTCTGTAGGTGCTGTAGGACCCTGCCTCGTTCCCAGAGCAGCAGAGGTCTGAGTGGTGGAACAGGTTCAAACACAAGACACATTGTTTTAAGCAGAATCCATGTTTTTAGGAGGAACGTGTCGTTGATCTGGGCTGAACTATTTAGGAAAAATATCATCTTTTTCAGGCAAACATTGTGTCTGTGATTAGATTTGTGATTTCTGTTTTAATTAAAGGATTCAGTCTCACTCACTCACTTTAAGACTGAAATCTGAACTGTCAAACTAATACAAGAATCACATTTCATCTGACACACAGGGAGGGCATCTGACACATTTCATCGGGCATCTGACACACAGGGAGGGCATCTGGCACACAGGGAGGGCATCTGGCACACATTTCAAATAGCGATTTCAATAAGATGTAGATGAATTGTGCAGCCCATAGCCGGCTTCTTTTCAGATTAAAGGGAGAAAATAATAAAGTGGTCTGAACTAAACTCGAGGTGCAGTTAAAGTCACTTCTGACCTCACTCTGGACTAAGTCTGGTTTTATTTGAATATCACATACAGTGAGACATTTCACAAGTTTGTTGAGTCAGGCTTAGATATGCGAGTTTGATTCTGCCTGCAAATGACAACCACACCCTCAACTGCAGGGGACTAAAGCAGGGGCAAAACCGGGACTAAACCAGGACTAAACCAGAACTAAAACAGGGACATGACTAGGACAAAAGAAAGACTAAACCAGGGTCAAAGACTGGGACTAAAGCAGAACTAAAGCAGGACTAAACCATGGGCAAGACCTTGACTACAGCAGGACTAAACCAAGGGCAAAACTGGGACTAAAGCAGGACTAAAGTAGGACTAAAGAAGGACTAAACCAGGGTCAAGGCTTCAACTAAAGCAGGGGCAAGACCGAGACTAAACCAGGGTAAGACAGGAGATAAAGCAGGGGCAAGATGTCAACTAAAGCGGGACTAAACAAGGACTAAACCAGAGGCAGGATGGGGGCTTAATCAAGACTAAAGCAAGGGCAAGACTGGGACTATACCAGGACTAAACCAGGGGCTAGGGGGCTAAACCACGGCTGGGACAAATCCAGGACTACAGACCAAGAATAGTAGGGTCTACACCGGGACTGGGACTAAACCAGGACTAGAGCAGGATTAAAGCAGGGGCTGCACCAGCACTGGACAAGGACTACACCCTGAACCAGACCTGGACTGATGCCCAAACGAGGACTTAAACAAAACTAGAACCAAACCGGGTCTACAACAAGTCTAAGTGAAGACAAACCATAATCTGAACTAAACCAGGACTAAAACTTTTTAAAGTAAAAAGTAAATGAAGAGGATTTGACGCGTTACATGAAAACAAACTCGAGGTTATAAAGCAGGACTAAACTCAGTCTAACCCCGCGCTAAACAAACAGTAGATCACATTTAGGGTCTGGTCTTTGGAGAAAACCAGTTTTACGTAATAAACTAGTACTAGAAAGTAACTAGGGGTGAACGAAACTAAACCTGATCTAAACCGGGACAGAAAACAGCAGAATATAAAGACTAACCCAGAACTAAGTGTTTGTGGAAAAATCCCTCAAAAGTACCGCTAATGTTTGTTGGAGTAAGTTTTTAATCCCGGTACACGCCCTGCACGTCTCCGCTGTCAGGAATCCTCGGCTGTTTCCGCCTGTTTCCGACGCATTCCCGAAGACATTCCTGCACTTCGAACACACTTTTCCTGACTTCTACGTTCATTTGAGAACCTTACCTTAATCGCCATTTGGAAAAAGTTGGAAAAAGTAGGAAAAGTGAGAAAAAGCCGAGGTTTTCCGGAGATGGACGAGAGGAGCCGAAGTGTCCCTAAGCGCGCAAAGCAGAGACTGAAGCGAGGCGGAACAGGAGCAGTGTGAACGCGCAGAGCACGCCCCCTGCCACATGCACCTGAGGGAAGGGTCACGTGGGACACCTGAGGAGGGGTGGGGGGAGGGGTCATGCTTAGAGTAGAGTAGCCAAAAAATGTACTCAAGTAAGAGTAGTCTTACTTCATAAAAACATGTATACATAAGTACACAAGAGTAAAAAAAAAAGTATTTGGGGAACTACTACTCAAGTAAGAGTAACTTTAACTGTAACATCAGATTTTCAATTTGAAATAAGTCACAAAATTTGATATTTTCAAAGGACAGATACAAAAATGAGACAAACTAAATCATATCTAAAGGAGCTGCAAGAAACAAATGTTCAAATCATTTCAGATTGTCATGTGAAGCTTTTGTCACTTTAGACTGTGGGAAGAGGAAACAACTTTTACTCAAGTAAGAGTACTGTTACACTGCACAATATATCACTCAAGTAGAAGTAGGAGTAAAAGTATGCTGCTAGAAAAGTACTCTGAAAAGTATAATTTATATTAAAAAAAATTTACTCAGGTAAATGTACATGAGTAAATATAACTGAGTACCCACCTTGGATCATGCTCTGGAAAAATGGTATGGGACTTTAGGCTCTTGGGATCTGAATCTTTTTATCCATTCATGTCAAAGATGTTTAATGACAGAAGCCAATGTGAGAATTCATTTATCTTCAAATGAACCACACACAGACATGATCCAGGCTCAGATGTGTTCAATGCATCATCAAAATCAAAATAAAATGTTGTTATTAAGATGTTATTAAAATTTTAATAACATAATTTGTGCGTGTGTGTGTTTCTGTACTGATTCTTGTCTTGGTTCAGTATTAATCAGAATGAAAATGCATTAAAATTAGAAAGAAATTTGATAAATTTCAATAGATTTGAGATCCGATTTCTGAAATGTTCAAAAGAGCCGAAAATGTGTGAAGAATAATTTAAGATTACATAGAAATATGTAAACAGCCTTATGGCATCTTCATCGTGACATTTCTGTTAAAACAGAGAAGTCAGGTGAGAACAAGAGTTTTACTCTGCATTGTGATGAGGGCATCATTTCAGATGTTGTACAAGGACCTGTACAGCTATGAGAGATGGTTCAGTCCTGGTTTAGTCTTGGTTCAATCCTGGTGAAGTCGTGGTTCAGTCCTGGTGAAGTCCTGGTGAAATCCTGGTGAAGTCGTGGTTCAGTCCTGGTGAAGTCCTGGTGAAGTCGTGGTTCAGTCCTGGTGAAATCCTGGTGAAGTCCTGGTTCCGTATTAGTGGGGCAAAGGTGAGATTCAGAGGAATCCTTAGAATGCAGGTGAGAACAGGTGGGAACAGGTGAGGGAAACCTGACACCAGTTTATCTGACAGTTCAGGCCTCAGGCAGTTTATATTCAAACACCAAAAGACCTGGTTTAGTTCTGGCTTTGTCCTGGTTTAGACGTGTTTTAGATGTGGGTTACACCTGGTTTAGACTTGATTTAATTTAGCATTAGAGGAGACCCAGTGTCCCATGACCTGAACTGACATTTTTTACGTCATAATTCATATTAAATAAAACAATAAAAATAACGATCACTAGTACCACTTCCCTCAAAACCTCAGATAAAGTCTGTGGAAACACATACACAGACCTAAATTTAATTTAGACTTTACTCCCAATTTAACCAGATCTCAACCTGGTCTGAACCAGGTCTAAACTCGGTCTGAACCAGGTCAAAACCAGATTAAACCAGGTCTAAACCAGATCTAAACCAAGTCTGAACTAGGTATAAACTCGGGCTGAATCAGAACTGATTCGGTTCTGAACGGTTCTGGTTGCTGGCGGCTGTTGTCCACTGGATGGCGGTGTTTCCTCAGGGACATTACGGAACAGTTTACAGATTTATGTACAGTTTATATGTACATTTAGTTTATGCTTTATCTGACTCCTTCCTCTTTTTCTCGGTCCATTTGGGCCAAAAACACTGCACTCTGGTTAGATGTTTTTGTCTCCTGGAAAACCAACCAGCATTTGCTGAAGTTCTGCTAACGTCAGCTGCTACAGTTGAACACTTATTTTATAAACAAGAGCAACGGGGAAAATGTCTCAAGCTCGTTGTAATCCTGCTTCGTGCTGTTCTCAGAGTTGTAAGTTCAGTTTTAATCATTGTGATAATCAGAAATGATAAATATATTATAAACTGTATCTGAGCCTAAAGGCTAAGAGCTAACTGCTAATGTAAACTGACAGTCACGAAGAGCTAACGTTCATTTATTGGTACACTTAGAAAGAAAACATTGGTCCAAAAATAAAATATTATAGCTAATGCATAGTAGTTATTATTAATTAGTTATGATTAATCGCTTTATATTTTTAACTAATGTGAATAATAATAATGTGAATTTTATCATTTTGAGTTGACATCAGAAATCCTCCAAGCTGCGCCACTCTGAACCTGTGGAGGGTGATTATTTTCAGGTTTCATATAAAATTAATTTTCAGAAAAGATTACTCCAAGTATCATTTGCTAAAAAGGGTATACAGAAAAATAAAATGTGAGTAAGGTTTATTACTGTTGATATAAACTGTAAACAAATTAAAAAAGAAGACCTTTTTCACAACGGCCAGAAGTACCTCGCTGTGGGATTGCGAGACTTCAAGAGACTTTCGGTTAATGCTTTTCTATGGCAAAATATCTGTAAATGTCTGGCGTATTTTCCCACCAGCTTCATAAATCTGCCCCAACAGTGATCACCAAATCTTCACCTAACAAGGTCCACAAGGGATAAACATTCTTCCATGAAAAATTATTCCAGAACTATCAAGGGAAGAAAGACGAAAGCTTAAAGGAAACAACGACCACACATTAGTGACAGACTAAACAAAACTAACGTTATGCTCATTAATAAAACAGAAGTACTTGTGAACTCAGACTGATTCTACAATTAAAATTTAAAATAGATTTTAGGATGTAGATATTGGCATAGATAGATTTGTGCAGTTCAAATGCTACAGATGTTCACAGTTCACATGTCGAGCATTTGTACTGCACAAATCTCTCTGTCTATGCAAATATCTACATCATGAAATCGATTTTAAATTTTAATTGTAGAATCAGTCTGAGTGAACAAGTTCCTTCTGTTTTATCATGATCATAACGTTAGTTTTGCTCAGTAGTTCAGTAATGCGTTGTCGTTGTTTGCCTTTAAGTTTTCGTCTTTCTTAACAAGATAGTTGTGGATAAATTCTCCATGAATAGAATATGTCCTTTGTCGGCCTTGTTTGTTAAAGATTTGGTGATGGCGCAGATTTATGAAGCTGGTGGCAAATATGCTAGACATACCCACAGACATTTTGCCATAGAAAAGCATTAACCAGAAGTGACGCTTACCCTACATCACGTCACTTCCTGCCTATAACACACAAACTCAACTTAATTTCATTATGTCCATTCTCATTATATAATGTACAAAACAATTAAATTTATTGTTGCTCAAGTCACATATGACAAGCATTTATTTTTCTAGATTTTTACAGTTTATGTATTAAAAATTTGTTTTAATCAATTTATTTTATTTAAGGCCAGATGTCTTGTGTATTTTACAGTTTGGCGCAGGTGCACGGTCAGGTCCCACCCTTCACCTGTCAATCATCTGTTCATGCAATCAGAGGGTCAGCTGAGACACGTGCTCCGAGCGCTGCTGGGGGCTTTCAGTGGAGCAGGTTCTGCCCCCTTAAGACCCCCTCTAGTCCTGGTTTAATCCTGGTTTAGTCCTGGTTAAAACCTGGTTCAGTCCTGATTCTGTTCTGATTTAGTCCTGATTTAGTCCTAGTTTTGTCCTGGGTTACATCTGGTTTAGTCCTGGTTCAGTCCTGGTTTAAACCTAGTTTAGATCGGGTTTAGTCCTGGTTTAGTCCTGTTTTAAGACATGGTTTAGATTTGGAAAAAGACTCGTTCATTTACCAATTCCAGTATTTTTGCTGTTGTCGCTTAGTCCTGTTTCTAGGCATCTCCCACAACCTGCCTCTGAACCTGGAGCTGAAGCTGATCGCAGGAGCCCTCTTCACCGGTCAGACTTGGTTTAGTCCTTGTAAACCTTTTTTGCTTAGGCTGTAGATCTGGTTTAGACTTGGTTCAGTCCTGGTTTCGATTTGGTTTAGTCCTGGTTTAGTCCTGATTTAGACCTTGTTTTAGACCTGGTTTAGTCCTAGCTTAGACCTGGTTCAGTTCTGGTTCAGTCTGACTCTTGTTGCAGGCTTGTGCGCTGTGAGTGGGGCTTGCTCGTCCTTCGTCAGGTGTTCTCTCCTGCTCACATTTCCCATGATGCTTGGCTCTAGAGGCAGAGCTTACATCCTACTGCTCCTCCTGTCCCTGCTCTACTCAGGTAACCCACCTGTCCTCACCTGTCCTACACCTGTCCTACACCTGTCCTCACCTGTCCTACACCTGTCCTACACCTGTATGTAGCCAGAGACACTTCACCTGTTCGTGTGTGTGTGTGTGTGGACAGAGACACTTCACCTGTCCGTGTGTGTGTGGCCAGAGACACTTCACCTGTCCGTGTGTGTGTGGGGGTGTGTGTGTGTGTGTGTATGGACAGAGACACTTCACCTGTCCTTGTGTGTGTAGATAGAGACACTTCACCTGTCCATATGAGTGCTGACAGGGATACTTAACCTATTGTGTGTGAGGACTGGGACACTTCATCTCTCATGTGTGTTACGAGTATGTTACGTGTGTGTGTGTTACAGTTGTGATATGTGTGTTACACGTGTGATACACGTGTGACACATGTGTGAGATGTGTCTGTAAAGTGTGTGTTACATGTGTGTGTAAAGTGTGTGTTACGTGAGTGATACATGTGTGTGACATGTGTATTAAGTGCGTGTTACATGTGTGATCCATGTGTGTGATGTGTGTGATACATGTGTGTGACAGGTGTGTGACAGGTGTGTGATGTGACATGTATGTTACATGTGTGTGACATGTGTGTGACATGTGATACATGTGAGTGACAGGTGTGTTACAGATGTGTTACATGTATGACATGTGTGACAGGTGTGTGACGTGTGTGACAGGTGTGTGACAGGTGTGTAACAGGTGTGTGACATGTGTGTGACAGGTGTGTGACATGTGTGTGACAGGTGTGTGACGTGTGTGTCATGTGTGTGACAGGTGTGTGATGTGTGTGACATGTGTGTGACATGTGTGTGTCATGTGTGTGACAGGGTTGTGACATGTGTGTGATGTGTGTGACAGGTGAGTGACAGGTGTGTGATGTGTGTGACAGGTGAGTGACAGGTGTGTGACAGGTGTGTGACATGTGTGTGACAGGTGTGTGACATGTGTGTGACAGGTGTGTCATGTGTGTGTCATGTGTGTGACAGGTGTGTGACAGGTGTGTGATGTGTGTGACAGGTGTGTGACATGTGTGTGACAGGTGTGTGATGTGTGTGTCATGTGTGTGACATGTGTGTGACAGGTGTGTGACAGGTGTGTGACGTGTGTGTGACTTGTGTGACAGGTGTGTGATGTGTCTGACAGGTGTGTGATGTGTGTGACAGGTGTGTGACAGGTATGTGACATGTGTGTGACATGTGTGTGACGTGTGTGTGACGTGTGTGACATGTGTCCTCAGGTCCACTTCATAATATGCATGTGAACGTGGAGGCGTGTGCTCTCAGTCTCTCTTGTAATCTGGACCTGCAGGTGAACAACAGTCGTGTTCTGTGGAGGCAGGCTGTGGTGCCGTTCATCAGCATTGCCCAGGAGCTCACGGTAACAATACATGTGGGGTCTAATACACACACGTGTGGGGTGCAATACACACGTGTGGGGCCTAATACACACATGTGTGGTCTAATACACACGTGTGGGGTCTAGTACACAAATGTGAGGTCTAACACACACACATGTGGGGTCTAACACACACACATGTGTAAGCACAGAAGAGCTCTTACAGTCCTGTCCTGGTCTATCCCGGTCTCTCTGTGGTCTGGTTGTAGTCCTGGCCTAACCCAGGTCTCTGTGGTCTCTCTGGCTCCAGGGCAGCACCGCAGATTTGGGGATGGAGTCTCTAAACGTGAGCATGGCTTTCCAGACCTTCAGACAAGAAGTGATGCGCCATTATGGAGCCGAGCTGTTAGCCACTGACGCTAACAACGGCAATGACACACAGCAGCAGCTCACTACAAGTACCATGATGCAGTGCGACGGTGAGGCTCTAATTAGTGGTGTTGTCACAATGCTAAAATTTCAAATTCAGTTTTGATACTGAGAAGTAGACTCAGTGCAGATTCTGATACAAACAATAAAAACACTATAATGAGTGAATGGTAGCACATTCTTTTGGGTGTATACTAGTCTATGTGCTCTTTTACTTGTTCTGATACAGCTCAAGAACATTCTAAAAACATTCAGGAAAGGTTCATTTCTGTCCGGTGAATGGGATTTTTTGTATTTTTTAGTATACCTGCTCAAATGAGTATATAGTTTCTTTGCTACTTTTAGTACTGATTTTGATCTGATTTTCGATACATTTGACAGCCTTACTCATGAGTGGTTCTGTCTGAGTGGCTGTGTGTTACTCGTGCTCACTTATCATTGGCAGGTGTGGTCCAGGAGGCGGTGCAGCGCTGCTCTGAGTGGTTCAGTCTGAAGTGGGCGGAGTGCATGTCCACAGTCTCAGTCCCGGTCCTGAACCACCTCCTCTGTGTCCCCATGAAGTTCAACTTCCTCTGCGACATCCTCCGAGGTTAGACCTGGTTTAGTCCTTGTTTAGTCCTGCTTTATCCTTCATTTGATTTAATAACATGTCCTGAGTCTGATGAATGCGTGTGTCTCTCTCTTCTTACTTGGTCTTGACTGGATTTGGATTCTGGCCTTGACTTTGTCTTGAGTCTGTTCTTGACCCCGTCTGGTGGCCTCAGTGATGACGCCCTGGTGCAGAGAGCACCTCCCGGTGGAGGGCAACATGGGTCACCTGTGGGACCAGCTGAACCGGTCCATGGCCCACTTCCAACAGGAATTCAGTGCCAGCATGGTCCTGGAGGTGAAGGCTCTGCTCCTTAACAGCCTCACAAAGTGTCTCTAAACTATTGATTTAACCAAGAGGAAGTTCATACAGTGAAACAGTCAGTGATTAATAACACACTTATTTTGAACATTCACAGGAAACAAGCACATGCAGAACTGTCCCTGAGCTTCTGCAAGGAACAACTCCAAAAAGCACTGTGGCGAGAGGGCTGACAGTGGCAGCACTCTCACCACAGTGTCTCAAGTTCAATTTAGACAGACATTTGGATGTGGAGTTTGCATGCTTCCACAGCTTCCTTGTGCCTGGGTGGATTTCCTCCATTAACCTTAAAAATTGCTCTGGTCTAAACCTGGTTTTGCTCTGGTCTCTGGTCTCTGGTCTAAACCTTGTCTCTTTGTGGTCCTCAGGAGGAGCAGCACCAGGAGGTTGTGGAAGGACTGATTTTGGACCAGATCTTCACAGACGCAGTCCGGGACTCACTCCTCAGACTCAGATCTGGGTCTGAGGTCCTGATGGAAGTTCTACAGACCACTAAGTCCCTCACCTTCATCACCATCATCCTCCAGTAAGACCTGGTTTAGTCCTGGTTAGTCCTGGTGTAGTCCTGGTGTAGTCCTGGTCTAGTCTTGGTGTAGTGCAGGTTTAGTCCTACAGTCTTGGTTTAGTCCTGGTCTCTATATCTTAAAATTAGTGATAAAACTCTTTAACTCTAGACATTTGATTGAAGAAACTGAAGAAACTGACCAATTCTGTGTCTGAACTAGTTCCCAGTGCCAAGTCGCTCACCTTCATCTCCAGCATCCTCCTCCAGTAAAACCTTGTTTTATCCTGGTGTAGTTCTGGTTTAGTCCCGGTGTAGTCCCTGGTGTAGTCCCTGGTGTAGTCATGGTATAGTCCTGGTGTAGTCCTGGTGTAGTCCTGGTGTAGTCCTGGTTTAGTTCTAGTGTAGTCCTGGTGCAGTCCTGGTTTAGTTCTAGTGTAGGTCTAGTGTAGTCCTGGTTTAGTTCTAGTGTAGTTCTAGTGTAGTTCTAGTGTAGTCCTCGTTCAGTCTGTAGTGTGACTACATCTGACCCCACGCTGGCACCAATGTATATGTGCATATGTAGGAGAAATCTACATGGGCTCACAGCGTGATACCGTGATGTAGGGGGGTAATTGATGTTACAGATTGGAATTTAGGAGTTCTAAGCTAAAGCAGCACTCACGTGGTCTTTGTGAGTGTTTGGCTCTGACTAGAAGTAAATTTGGGGCACCACTCAACAAATGTTAAGAAATATTACCAATCCAATTTAATCAATTATCTATGCTAATTAATTAATTAATAATTAATTAAACAATTGATCTGAAGGTTTGTAAATTCTTGACCATATCAGTGACCTGCATATTCTGAATGACATCACTGGAAATAACATCACTATTCACCAAAGCAAACTGTGGTTTATGGATATTTATTGACCAAGTTAAACAGACAGCATTTAAATATCAAATATGTAAATGAGTGTAGGTCGCTCTAAACTGGTGTCTAGAAATGTGAGATTAGGCACAACTTTAAGAGTTATATAAAGTTCTGTGCTGAGTCTAGATTGGTACAACAAGCCATTCTGTAACAGTGCGCATACAACCCTGGGAGAGTGGAGATTTCCAGTCACGAGGTGGTCCTGTTGGGTCCAATGAGGGTTTGAGTTTCTCAGGACGTTGGTTCTGAAGAATCAAACGCAAAGAAATGGACGAACGCCACGTGATCTGATTAATCTTCCAGGCTCAGTCAACGTCAGGCTGAGGGACGCTCTCCTCTGTTCCAGAGGATTGGAGGACACGTTTCTGTGTCTTTGAGGTCTAACAGCGCGGGTCACAGATTAGGGCTAATCAATCAAAAAGACTACATCTGCAAAAAATGCAAATGTTTAAATTTGGAAAAATATGAAATCTTCGCTTTCAAATCAGATCAGCTACAGGTATTCGAATGAAAAACACGTCAAGCGACGGGCACAGCTTGAACAGAGCGAGAACTTGGGCGTTGTCCCGTTTGTTCGGCTCTACTACATCTTGACCATTCTGAGCTGAACTGCTTCAGCGATCTTCTGCTGAACAGAGATCTGAATGAATGAATGAACTGGTCAGAACTAGGCGATCTGCAAAACTGGCTTCTCTGCTGAGGTCTGTTTTCCTTGTCTTAAGTCTTAAGATAAGCGGGAAAGCTGACCAATGGTGGGTCTGCGTGTGGAATGTGAGTTAGTTGAGTGGGGGTTTTATGACGTAGCTCACATATTCACACTATGTACATTAACGGTCTTACACAAAGAAAGTTTTCACATGACATTTACAAAATCAGTATTAAACACACTGGCCATAGTTCATTGAGTGAATTGAATTTCATTCCTTTCTTTCTCTGGAGAAACTCTATTGGCTTGAGATTCAGAAATTGTTCCATCAGAAATCCCATAGTGTCGATTATAGTCAGTGAACAAACTTCGGTCAGTTGAATTACCAATAGGTGAAGCTTTGTAGAAAAGTTAGTTTGTAAAAAGGTCTTTAATCCTTTAGGGGTCTTTGTGTGTTACCTCACGCAGGGAGTGCAAGTGGGGGAAGGGCAGAGTGTCATCAAAGTTAACCCCTGTCAGAGGCTGTTGTCCAAACCTTGCGCAAGTCTATCCCCTAAGATATCATGTCAACAGCCATGATTTCACATCTTCCATAGGTCAGAGGCCAGTCCTCTTACAAGTCCAATAGTGTTGATTCAGTCTTGGCTTAGTCCTGGTCTAGTCCCTTTTAATCTTACAATTATCTTTGATTCAAAGAAAAAAAAAAAAAAAAAGGACAATTCTGGGTCTGAACTAGATCACAGTGAACAGGTCTAAACCCAGCCTAAACCAGGTCTAACCCTGGTCTCTCTCCTTCAGAGCAGTGTGGTACCTGGTGCGGTACAGGAGGGACCTTCGCTTCGATAATGTTTACATCACATCATATTTCAGACGCATTGAGACACGAAGGAAGACTCAGGTTTGAACACTCACCTAAAACTTTAAATGCCCTCCCTGTGTGTCAGATGCCCTCCCTGTGTTCATGGGGTTTTATTTGGAGTAAAAGCTGCTAACCCTGTAGTTTAGACCTCTACAAACAGGTTCTGAAATGCATGGGATAATTAGATTAGTTTCAGATTTCAGTTTCAGTGAATGCTTCTGTATTGTGAGTTGTTTCTGTGTCCAGGGAAAATGCGGTGTCTTTCCTCTGTCCAAACTTGACCGGAGCTGTTTCATCCAGCCCTGCAGTCTGAGAATCCACCCACAGGAGGCGCTATCAGTGGTACTGTGCACTACCACCTCAGTCCTGGTTTAGTCCTGCTCTAGTCCTGATTTAGAACTAGCTGAGTCCTGGTTTAGTCCTGGTTCCGGCCTGGGTCAGTCCTGGTTTAGTCCTGGTTCAGTCCTGGTTCAGGCCTGGGTCAGGCCTGGGTCAGGCCTGGTTCAGTCCTGGTTCAGTCCTGGTTTAGTCCTGGTTTAGTCCTGGTTTAGTCCTGGTTCAGTCCTGTTCTCTGCTGCAGTTCTCTGGTCTGGTTCAGTCAGTCTCAGTTGGACTTCTGACTCTGGTTCTGGTCTGTCTGGACCTGGTTCTGGTCCATGTTCTGGAGATAGTGAGCCACAACACCGTCACACAGTTAAACATTACAGGTAAAAAAAAATACTAATACTACATGTACTACTTTTTTATTTTTTTTTATTTTTTCAGGGACAGTTCATATAATATAACTACTGCTACTATTATATTATTATATATAATATTATTATGTACTATAATACTACTATAACTACTACTACTTCTTCTACTAGTAATATTACTGATACTACTATTGCTACTAGTACTACTTCTACTACTACTACTCCTGCTGCTCCCACTGCCCCTACTACTGCTACAACTACTACTACTGCTATTACTACTACTACTACTACTTCTGCTACTGCCGCTACTATCAGTGCTGCTATGTTTAGATGTAGTACCACAGTACTTGTACTTTCTCTTATGTGTCTCAGGTGTGCACCAGGTGGACCTGAGAGTGGGCGGGGACTCCATCATGGCCCGCCTCCTCAGGAAGACTGTCTCTGCCTTCAACAGCTCTGCCCACTTTGACATTGACAGCAGCAACAAAGGTAAAGTATGTGTTAGTTAAGACAGCATACATTTTGTATTGTATTTATATATTTATTTTGTAAATATTAAGTAAAGATTTATATTCTTATACAATGGAACATATAACATTAAGTGAAATCATAATAGAAATGAAAATAACCACAACAAAAAACTTGCCCAAAAAGGAGAAGGAAGAAATCTCACCCCCACTCTTCTAATCTAACACAATGAGCTTTTTTTTTGCATTTTTCAGACATTTTGCATTATACTATATGAATAAATAAATAAACTCAACTTTACCACATATAAACCATAACCATTCTACAGCCACATCAGCCCATTTGAGAATATAATGTGTTTAATACATCTTTGGGCACATTTGTTTACATTTTACAGAAACAAAATTAAAACCGTGTGGCTCATTTGCATAAACTGTAAGCCTGAAAAAAAAAAAAAAAGCTCTTTCATTGTGCGCTGATGCATCAGCTGCTGTTGAACTAGGGTGGCCTCGTTATCAACCTTGAGCTACTCTCACCTGGCAAACCTTTTTAATGTTTTTCGGTGTCCTGGTGCTTTGAGGTCCCTGGCACTCCCACTGGACACCAAGACATATGTGTCTGCTTTGTACACTGTGCACATGGCCTCCCACTTGTCCCGACTGGGATAGAAGGTGGGGAATTTCTTGTACAAGTCATTGTTAAATGTGCATTTGCGCTTCGGCATGTTGCAGGCTGACCAACTGTCTATGTCTGCTCTCTCCTTCTGAGTCACAGAGCTATGAGAGACGCTCAAGTTAATGGCCCAATGAAAGATCATGAAAACCCGGACATTTCCATAACTTCATAAAAAAAACCTGGACAGCCAGGACAGGATGCGAAAATGGACATGTCCGGGGAAAAACAGATGTTTGGTCACCCTAGTTGAACTAAAGGACATGATTATGAGTGTTCTCTCTGTGACAGAGGCGTGTTCTGCTCATAGTGAGTGTTCTATGCATATATTGCACTGGAGATGGTTCATGTTTTCAGAGATCATACATGTGCAAGTTGTACGTGCGCAGGTGATACGTGTTCAGGTGATACATGTTCAGGTGATACGGGTTCATGTCGTACGCGTGCAGGTCGTATGTGTTCTTGTCGTACATGTGCAGGTTTAGCACAGCTCTTTATTTAACAGTCATTTCAGTGACTTTATTTATGTTGGTCACTTTATTTAGATGATGTTAATCAAGAGCATGGACTACTTTTTAAAATGCGGGTCAGGCACAATATTTCAAATATTTTATTGCGGTTGTGGGTGGGTTTGTTGAAATGGTCGGTTGGGCACAGGTCGTTTATACATGGACCCGTGTATCACTGGTTGCTGGTGTCACGGCGCCCCCTTTATTTTTTTATTTTTTATTTTTTTTAATAATAATTTTTATTTGCAAACTACATAGATTACAACAAATAGGAACCAAACGACATACAAGATACAAGACAGACATTACGACTGAACATTACATACAAATAGGAACAAAGATGACAGGGGTTGGTGACAGTGTGAACCTTATGTGCGTGTCTGTGTGTGTGTGTGTGTGTGTGTGTATGTGTGTGTGTATGTGTGTGCATACGCGTGTGTATGTATGTGTGCCGGGGGGGATAGACAGGCTATGCGGATGATTTAATGTTGACCTGTATTATTGCTATTTAATTTGAGTATTGAAAATTTGTTAAGTGTGTGTTGGCATTTTGCCTCAGATCCCCACTGAAGTGGGAGCAGGCCAAGCCACACTCATGCCCACCAAGGCGGGTGCGGGGGCCACCCCCAGGGCTCCACATGTGGTCGCCCTTCGACCAGGCCGGCCCACCCCCCAATGAACCACCTCCCGGTCTGAATGCTCCCCCTCCCTGATATATATGTACATGTGCATACATTCACACGCACACATGCATGCACGCACCTGCCTGCACAGGAATGTGCACGCACATCCACATACACACAAGCCTACACACATACTCACACAATTCACACACACATGAACCCACATTCATCCCTGGTTGACTTGTGATGCATTAAAAAAAAAAATTGGGTGTGATGCATTAAAAGTATCAGGGAGGTAAGGAGCTTGGGGGTAGACCAGAGAGTGAAGCCAGCACAGAGGGGAGACCCTGAGGGGACGGGAGAGCACGCAACCGGGCACCCGTAGGTGGACCCCCACACCCAACACCCAGGTGACAGCAGAGAGGGCCCAGCCCGCTAGGGACCTGAGGCAGACAACTTTGTGCTGTGTTCCTAAGTCTGTTAAAGTTCTGTTTTATATAGCCTGTCTATCCCATCCCTGTTTCTTTATAAAATTAAGCGGTGTGTATGGCATTGTGTGTGTTTGTACAGGTGTGTGTGAGTGTGTATGGGTGTGTTATGTGTGTGTGCATGTGTGCATGTGTATGTACTCTCAGGACTTCATCTATTTTAATGTCAAGCAAAAGGTGATAGGCAACCAGACAAAGAAAAGTGTTAAGGAACGAGGAGGAGAAGAGTAATCAAATATGAAATTACATTTGTAGAAAATGGAGGCAGGTGGACCAGGGTGAGTGTGGTGCTGTTGTGCTGACGGGGGTAGTAGATGTGTATTCCAGAGAGATATGGTCAATGAGTAGGTTTTTCCAGTGTGTCAGATGTATGTTGTGTCTTGATTTCCAGTTCATGAGGATAGTTTTCTTGGCGATAGTTAGGGCCACAAGGAGAGGTTTATGGTTTTTATTATCTATTGAGATTATTGAAAGGTCTCCTAGAAGACAGAGTGAGGGGGACATGGGGATGCGACAACCCATGAAGTGGGATAGTGAGTCCGTGATTCCTTCCCAGAAGTGCCTGATGGGTGTGCAATGCCAGAAGGCGTGAATATAAGTGTCGGGGAGGTTTTGTGTGCAATTTGTGCAGTTAATTTCTGATGTGAAACCCATTTTCAGCATTTTTTGACCAGTGTAGTGAGTTCTGTGGAGTACCTTATATTGTATGAGTTGTAGATTTGCATTTTTTTGTCATGAGATAAATGTTTTTTACAGATCTGGGTCCAGAAGTTGGCATCACGAGTGAGGGAGAGATCTTGTTCCCATTTTATTGACGGTAATGATATAGTTTTGGTCGGAGTGAGATATTATTTTATAAATCTTTGAAAGGAGTTTTTTGGGGTTGGGGATATTGATTAATTCTGAGATTGCAGGGGAAAGGCATAGATTTGCTGTACTAGAATTAATTTTTGACTGTATCGAGGATTTGAGTTGTGAATATTCCAGAAACTGATTACTCGTGATGCCAAACTCCTGGACCAGGTATGGGAATGATACCAGGGTGTTATTATGGAAGAGGTGTTTTAAATGTGTGATGCCCTTTTGCACCCAGGAGTGAAAATTAAGTGTTTTTTTGTTGCTAAGAAAATCAGGGTTATTCCAGATGGGGGTGAAGTTAGATAGTGAGATAGTTGAACATGTGATTTTGTGGAATCTCCACCAGGCTGTCAGAGTGGATGCTATGGTTGTTACTTTGAAACATGGATGTCGTTTGATTGATTGGCTGAGAAAAGGGATATCTGAAATCTGAATGTCCTTACAGAGTGTTTCTTCTATGTCTAGCCAGGTGTAATCTGAGTGACTGGGGTGTGTCCACTTGTATATGTACTGTAACTGATTTGACAGAAAGTAATGATAGAAGTGTGGTGCATCTAATCCGCCTGTTGCTTTGGGTTTTTGAAGTGTTGTCAGTTTGATCCTTGGTGGCTTATTTTTCCAGTAGAACTTGGTGATTATTGAGTCGAGGGAGCTGAACCAGGTGCTGTTGGGTTGGATTGGAATCATTGAAAAGAGGTAATTTATTTTGGGAAGTATTTTCATTTTGATTATTGCTATCTGCCCAGAATGGATAGTGGTAGATTCCTCCAGTGGTATAGATCGTTGTCTATTGTTTTGAGAAGTGGAGTGAAGTTGAGTCCAGTCAGCTCTGACAGCCTGGAGGAAATGTTAATGCCCAAGTATGTGATGTGACCGGTGCATAAAGGAATATGTGATGTATGAGCTGTCGCATCCCATTTGGTGTTGTGTAATGGGAGGATGGAGGATTTTGTCCAGTTTATTGAGTAGTCAGAGATTTTAGAGAATGATTCAATGAGGGTAATGATTGTGGTTTCTGGAGTGTAAATAAGATGTCATCGGCATAGAGATTTATTGTATGTTGCATATGAGCTGTTTGAAATCCTTGTATGCGGGGGTTCTGACGGATGGCTATTGCGAGTGGCTCAATGAAAATGGTGAATAGGGAGGGGGGAGAGTGGGCATCCTTGTCTAGTCCCTCTGTGCAGTGTGAAGTAGAGGTAAGATCTTAAGACCGAGCCCAAGCCCGACCCGACCCGAAATTCGGGTCGGGTCGGGTCTAAAATGTCAATCATTACTTCGGGTCGGGTCGGGCTCGGGCTTCAAATAAATATATGTTTATAAAATGTATGCTAAAACAATGTGTGGATACTAAACTAAGGAATACTTGTCATAAAATAAATAATATGGATAAAACAAGTAATGTAATGTAATTGCTATTTAACTACTAAACAGGATCCGCAGAGCCAGAGCTCTGCGCACGTGAACGCCCCCTCTTAATTTAATAATCTTCCCCTCCGCAAGTCTGCATCTATTTTGACTTGGTGTCCCCAATATGGAGGAGCAAGAAGTTAAACTAAAGGCAGGAGAACTGAAAAGACAAACACGCACCGGTAAGAGTGAGGTGTGGAAAAGCTTCAAATTGATTGTTGAAAATGCTACAGAAACTTGCGTTGGCTTCGCTGAATGTCGTCAATGTGGCGCTTTGCTTTCATACGAGAGCAAAAAGACTGGCACCTCGACGCTGAGCACTGCTCCTCCTCCCGAGTCCTCACAAATAAAATATAACATTTCGGGTTTGCTTCGGGCTCGGGCCTGCAAATCAAGTTAATTGGTCGGGCTCGGGCCGGGTCGGGTTTTAATACCCGCGGGCCGGGTCGGGTCGGGCTGGATTTTTTAGGCCCGATCTCACCTCTAGTGTGAAGCATTGTGATGTTAGACCATTAGTAATGACAGAGGCTGAAGGTGAAGTGTACAAAATTTTGATCCAGTTAATAAATGATTCCCCAAAGCGAAATTTGTGTAGTGTGGCGAAGAGAAATTTCCAGTTTACCTTGTCAAATGCTTTTTCTGCATCTAAGGTTGCTATGATGGCATCTTCTTCTTGTAATGATGAGTAGTGGATTAAATTGAACAGTCTGCGTGTATTATTAGATGCTTGTCTACCTTTGATGAAACCTGTCTGATCTGGGTGAATTATGTGAGGGGTGACCTGTTCTATTCTATGGGCGAGAGCTTTGCTGAGGATTTTTATGTCTACGTTAATGAGAGAGATAGGGCGGTAATTTGATGGTAGGGTGTGGTGTTTATTCGGTTTGGGGAGGAGTGAGATGATAGCTAAATTCATATGTTCTGGAAATCTGGACTTTTGTTTGATTTCAGTTATTGCTTTGGTGAATAGTGGTGCTAAAATGGACCAAAAGTGTTTATAGAACTCAGCAGGGAAGCCATCGGGACCGGGTGCTTTGTTATTTGGCATAAGGTTGAGGGCTGTGGAGAGGTCTTTTTCTGTTATCTGTGAATCTAACATACTAATCTGTTCTGTATTAAGTTGTGGTGTTTTGATGTTCCTGAGAAATTAGTCTATGTCTTCTTGTTTTGGGTCCTGTTCAGATGAATATAATTTTTCATAAAAATTTCTGAATATTTCATTTATTTCCTGTGGTGAGTAAGTGAGCTTCCCTGCTGAGTTTCTGATGGTGGGATTTGTATTTTTTTCTTGATTTCGTTTGATTTGATTTGCCAGATATTTACCAGATTTATTGTTGTGATGAAAATGTTCTTGTCGAAGTCTGTGAATTAAGAATTGTGTTTGTTTATTTGTTATGTTGTTAAGTTGGAGTTGATATTTCCTTAAGTCATTCTGAGTTTCTGTTGTTGAATTATTAGCATTAAGTGTTTCTAATTGCTTGATCTTAAGTTCTAGACTTGCTTCTTTTTCTTTTTCTTTCTTTTTTTTATGGACAGAAAATGAAATTATTTTACCTCTTAAAACTGCTTTGCCTGTTTGCCAGAGAAGTGTGGATGATGACTTTGGGGAATCATTTATTTCTAAGAAGGATGCCCACTCTCTTTTGATATAACTGTCAAAATCTGGGTCATTGAGGAGGGATAGGTTGAAGCGCCATCTAGGGGCCTGTTTATGTTGCTTGTTTGTGTTCCATGTAATTGTAACTGGGGCATGGTCACTGATGATGATAGGGTGAATTCTTGATTCGGAAATGTCTAATATAACGGAATTACTGGTCAGTAAGAAATCAATACTGGAGTATGAATGATGTACCGGTGAGTAAAAGGTGTATTCTCTGGTGGTTGGGTGCTGTAATCAAAATCCTTCATGTACTGTTTTACTATTTCAGTAGATTGCCAGATGCGTTTGTTGGTTGTGTTATTGGAACGGTCAAGTGATGGGTCTATGATTGTGTTAAAGTCGCCTCCGATTATGACTGGACAGTTGGAGATGTTTGAGATGGAAGAGAAGAAGGAGTGGAAAAAAGAAGGGTTATCTGTATTTGGGCCGTAGATATTACCAATTGTTACCGGGCTATTGTTGATTGATATATTAATAATAACAAAACGCCCTTCAGGGTCTGTGATAGTTGTTTGCTGATTAATATGCTCACGCCTCTTTGCTTGGAGTTGTAATAAGAAGAGAAGGAGTGGGTGAATTCTGAAGTTTTTAATTTATGGTGGTCTATATGTGAGAGATGGGTTTCTTGTAATAAACAGATGTCTGCCTGTAGATTATGAAGATAATTGAGTAGGAAACACCATTAATTAAGCCTTGATTTATACTTAGTGTAATGCAAATGTTTGTGCTGTAGTGTTCACTATATGTTTATCTAGGGAATTTGAAAAAATATATTGACTATGTTACTATTTTTGGTATAAGCTTTGTGAGCCACCAATTAAAGGTCGGCGAGCCGCATGTGGCTCGCGTCCTGCGCAATGAGTATCTCTATCTTACAGCATGCTCAGTGGCGCCCTCTGTCCTCTCGCCCTCTGTATACTGGAGCTGTGCCGCCTGTGTCCTGATGATGGCGCTCTGTGGCCTCTTCCAGATCTACAGCAGCCGCCTGAGGAGAACCATCTGTGCCTTCTACCACCCCCAGGTACTGAACCTACTGAACAGTCTAAACCAGGACTAAACCAGGACTAAAACTGGACTAAACCAGGACTAAACCAGGACTAAACCAGAGTTAAAACTAGACTAAACCAGGATTAAACACATGTTGTATGTACAGGTAAAGCTGATATTCAGGTAATGCCTGAAATGACCAGGCAGTGTACAAAAAGAATCACTATTCTATAGAATGCCTAAAGGCGTAAGGCCAAGTACAGAATATGGACTGATTGATTTTTGCCATTGTGTTGGGCATTAGAATGTCTAGGAGTCATTTCTATTCAGTCTACACTCTATACTATGCTCTATACTCGATACAAAAAGTGTTTTTTATCTGGATGTTTATGTCAAGTCAATTTGAATGAGGCAAGAGTGAAAGATGATTTAAAATATATGTATTAGTTCAACAGTAATGAATTGTGAATCACAGATCACATGGGAATTCCAAACTATTCAGGGCAGTTAGCCTATTCAGCAACACATTTACATGAACCTTTTATTATTATTATTATTATTGCTGTTGTTGTTTTTAGTATTGTTATTATTATTCACAGTCCGTCTCTGTTGTTGAAGTTGATAATAGAATATCTATTTGTTACTTTGCATAAAAACCCCAGACATTCTATAGAGTGTAACATGTACCGATTTGACACATACTGTCCTCCATGGGGACCGTACCCTTAATCCCAAGTGTCGAGTGCCCTCCTCGTCTTGTATCCCTGTCTCAGATGCCCTCCCGTATGTAAGATGCAGATGCCGGTGTGTGTGTTTTTTCAGAGGGAGAAGAGGAGGGTTCTGTTCCTTTATAACCTGCTGCTCCAGAGAAACAGAAAGTGCTCAGGCTCAGACAAGAAGCGCTACACACACCACTGGAACACGGTACAAACATGTATGACCCGACTGTTGTAGACGGCTCTGACCCAGTCTCTGTGTAGGTTTGTGGTCTGAGTCACTGCTGTGGGACTGAAGACCAAAGAAACCACGAGGTCCACTACCAGGTCGAATAGTCCTGGACCAGAACCAGGACTGAACAGCTCATAACAGTCCATAATAAATGATCTAAGTCTGTCAGTGATTAGTCTTTCTTTATATTTGCTGCTAACACATCACATATTTAGATCACCGTGTTACCTTTTATCATTTTGAAAATGCTATATTCACAGAAAACAACATTTCACTTTTGATTTGACACTTCATGTCTCACCCTCCTCTGCTCTCCACACTAAGTCACTCCTCCTTCAGAGCGCTAACACAATCAACGAGCATCTCTTTAATGAAACTACTGTACATCACATTAGGTTTGCTATGTTGCTGAGTACAGTTTTGTATCATGTTTTTGTATATTTATGGAGAACTTTTGTGTAGAAGCATGGGTGACAGGTTTGACAGGGTGAAGGTTTGTGCATGCATGGAAATCTAAATCATCTAAAAAACCTTTTCAGACATGTTGATGATCAGGGAACAATGTTATAACATGATAGAAAGCTCAAAAAAGTAATATGCAGAATTAAGTACACAGATCCAGGTTTAACAAAGGTCTCTAGTCCTGGTCCTGGTTGAATTCCAGGTCTTGTGTTGTGTGGCACGTGTAGATGCATAATCCCATCCAATAATAATCCAGTATAAATCCTGTATTCCTCTGTTTAATCAGTGTGATCCGGTTTGATCCATGAACTCTGCCTAAAACACCTCAGGAATGTGCTGAAGAAGTAAACCAGGACTAAACCATAAGTGAACCCAAACTAAACCAGGTCTGAACCAGATCTGTACCAGAACTAAACCAGGTTTGACCAGGATTAAACCAGGTCTAAACTGTTGTGGGATTCTGAAACTGAGACGGTCCTGGATTTGAACCCGTTACGTCAAAGTGCTCTTTTGTTGTGTCCGTGGACATGACACTTCACCCACACACCAAGTGTAAGTGTGGTGTCTGAGTGCTGATGGTGGCAGTTGTTGATGGTGCAGATTAGCAGCCTCACTTTTGCCTGTCCCAGGGCAGCTGTGGCTACAATAATACCTCACCGCTGAGTGTGGAGTGAGTGAAGAATGCTGAGGCACTTTATATCTCGACAAGCGCTGTATAAAATTCCAGTTGTAATAAAACGTCACAGCGTCCGTTTCTCTTATAGACCTTTAGCACAGTGGAAGAAGTGCGGCGCTGTAGGGTTGTGGAACTTCTGGTTAATGGTTTTCTGTTTCAAAATGTGTGTTTAAATGTCTGGTGTATTCTCCAGCAGCTTCATAAATCTGCCCCATCACCAAATCTTCATCCGACAAGGTCCACAAAGGATAATCCTATTCTACATTCTACAATTAAAATTAAACATTGATTTCATGTCTGTATTGGCAGACATATTTGTGCAGTTGAGATGTTCACAGATGACATCTGTAGCATTCGAAATGCACAAACCTATCAATCTATGCAAATATCTACATCATGAAATTTATTTTTTAATTTTAATTTTCTAATTGTTGAGTCAGTCTGAGTGAACAAGTTCCTTCTGTCATGTGTTTTATTCATGACCATAACGTTAGTTTTGTTTAGTGTGTCACTGTGATGGAAATTTACATTGTGGAACGATTTCTCTCACTTTGTCTTTGTGTAAATGAATGTGATTTCTACCTGATACCCAGACCAGTTATTAACATGTGTAAAGGCTCAGCAGATACAACTGTCTCCTCCTTCAGGAAGCCCTTTGCTGTCTTACCTGTACTCAGCTGTATGTTCATTTAGTACCAGCCTCTGAAACTAAAGTCACTCTGCTTTGATATGTATGTACCTTGTATTTATGTATAAATACTCAGAGCTCAGATGCTCTGGGGAGGGACTTGTGAAATGGGGCAAGATGTGGTTGGGACACACTGCTGGTGAAGAGAGGCTGTTGGGCTGTGGCCAGGGCAGACCTAGGCCCTGCTGTAACAAGAATAAACTTTGGTCTATATTCCAAAAACCCATCAGGCTTTGCAAATTGATTTATTATTTATCATCAAGAGATTTTCTCCACAGCACTGATATGTGCTCGTTGTTCTCTGTGTCGGCGGCAAGGTGGGGCATTTGAGGGCCGTGCCCCACCCCCCAACAGGCCGTTATTATTACTATTTTAAAATGATTTTGATTGGCGCATTTCACTTCGGGCTGAGGGCACAAACTTTACTGTGACATCAATGACATCACAGTCTCTGTTTATTTAGTGTAGTGTGATTGGACAACTGTCCTGTCACTCACGTCACGTCACGTCAACCTGCTGCGTCAACTCGTAGCAGCTCCACGATTAGCGGCAGCTGCTACTTTAGCCTAAAGCTCCACACAGGAAATGGCGAGAACAGAGCCAAAGACACACGGACAGACCCGCCGCCGGGACCCGGGACTGTCGCCGCCCGGACTCGGGGCAGTCGCCGCTGGGACTCTCGCTGCCGCCGCCGGGGCCAGGGCAGTCGCTCGCTGCTCTATCCGCCTTTGCCCGCTCGTTTCTGGGTGTAAAAGTTTGACCTGAGCATAGCGCGCAGAGGCATAATTCTACCTGGTGTCCTGGTGCTGATATGGACTGACCGTAACTTTCAGATTGAAGTGGGAAGTGGGATTAAGACTAATTTTACAACCATCTTGTGCACTCGACTCCCGGACCTCGCGTCACGGACCAGACTGGACCAGGATTTGGACCAGTTTCATCTCTTCATATTGGACAATAGACTTTTGGAAACAGAACCAGTGGGACAGTGGATAGAGGAAACATTCTGCTTCAGCCTCTGGAGAAGGTAAGGGGCTGGTTTTCATTAGTTTGCGGCAAATCTGAACTTGGAGCCTCACAGGTAAATAGTGTTATAGTGTTATAGTTAAATAGTGCGTAAATGAGCTGGTGGGTGCGATGGAGCTGCTCTGGTTCTGTCGTGTGCTGTAGGAGCGGCATCTGTGTTCATGTCTCTTATTGTAGTTTTACTGACGTTGTTGGGTCTGGGTGTGAGCGGCGTGTTACGTTGTGTTGTTGCATAAAGTTTGCGCTTGGCTGTTCATTGTGCTCTGATCGATACTGTTCAGCCAATACTAACCAAAATATCTGTTTCTGGTATTTGTTATAATACTACAGCCTATATATATATAATACATATATTAATCATAATATATATTTATAATTTTGCCCTTGGTGCCCCTCCCAAAAATTATACCATCAGCCGCCACTGGTCCTGGTTTAGTCCTGGTTTAGTCCTGGTTTAGTCCTGGTTTAGTCCTGGTTTAGTCCTGGTTTAGTCCTGGTTTAGTCCCGGTTTAGTCCCGGTCCCTCAAGCCTCAGGTGTCTATAGGACAGGACAGGACTGGACGGCGACTCGCGTACCACGTTCACTACAGCCCTGGTGCTGTCCGATGCGTGGCTATTTCTAGTTCAGAGGTGTTTTTGACAAGAGGCTGTTGTTTAATGTTTACAACCAGTGGCAGGACTTATTGTTTTTTAATAAACCTCAACCTTTTATTATTGTCTTGTGTGCCTATCGTTTACCTCACAGCCTCAACAACTATTGCAGCTAATAATAATAATGATCTTAATATAATAATGATTATAATAACAACACATAATTAGCCTAATACTGTTAAAGAAAAACGTGTTTGATAGCATGTCTGCTGTGTATGACTCCACCGCGTTAAAATATTTCTCAAATGGTAGTGCCCCCCCTGCTGGTGACCCACGCCCCTCCAGTAGATGTGCTCTGACGCCGACTCTGGTTGTTCTCCTTTAAGTTTTCGTCTTTCTTCCCTTAATAGTTGTGGATAAATTGTTCATGTTAGAATGTTTATTCTTTGTAGAGTTTGTTGGTTGAAGATTTGGTGATGGGACAGATTTATGAAGCTGCTGGAGAATACGACACACATTTACACACACATTTACACACACATTTACACACACATGTACACACACATTTACACACACATTTACTCACACATTTACTCACACATTTAGCCACAGAAAAACATTCACCGGAAGTTCCGCAACCGTACAGGGCGGGACACTGGTTGTGAAAAATGTCTATTGTGAGTCCGGTTTTCCATGTGGATTATGGATCATCATAGCTCTATGATGTGGATCTGTGACCGCGGCTCTGCCCAAACTCTTTTGCACTGAGCTCACTTCCGGGTGTGTCCAGAGTCACGTGACCGTGGACATAAACCTAAACCGCCTCTGCGCTTCAGACCTGGATTGTACTTGGAGCGCACTTCCTCCGCAGAACCGCTGAGTCCAGGACCGAGTCTGTTCTGTCTCCGGGAGTAAGAGCCCTGCCTCTCGCTCCGTGCCGCGCCCCGCCGCAGTCCCCGGAGCTGCTGACATGGAGTTGAGATAACGCTCCTCCTGCCGCTCCTCCTGCCGCTCCTCCTGCCGCTCCTCCTGCCGCTCCTCCTGCTGCTCCTGTGTCCGGACTCGACATGCGGCAGCGGTAACGCGGCAGAGACATGACCGCCGCTCTGCCGCTCCTCCTGACGCTGATTGTTTCTGCGCTCACTGACGCGCGGTCTCTGCGCACCCGGAGCTCTGCGGAAAGTCTGAGCGCGGCAGAAGCGGTACAAGGTGCGTCACATGTTCAGCTGGGGTAAAAACAGTCTACGGCCGAACCGCGTAGCATCGGCCAAGTTTGTGTCAGTCTGCCGCGGCGGAACTGTGTTTACACCAGAGAAAAGTGCGACCACAAAGTTTAGGCGCGGATCCCAAAGTGGATATGAGGAAGCAAAAGATGACAGAAGATAGTGAGAGAGCAGAGGAGAGGGTCAGAAGAGAAGAGAGGGTCAGAAGAGAAGAGAGGGTCAGAAGAGAAGAGAGGGACAGAAGAGAGGAGAGGACAGAAGAGCAGAGGAGAGGGTCAGAAGAGAGGAGAGGGTCAGAAGAGAAGAGAGGACAGAAGAGAAGAGAGGGTCAGAAGAGAAGAGAGGGACAGAAGAGAGGAGAGGACAGAAGAGCAGAGGAGAGGGTCAGAAGAGAAGAGAGGGACAGAAGAGAGGAGAGGACAGAAGAGAAGAGAGGGACAGAAGAGAAGAGAGGGTCAGAAGAGAAGAGAGGGTCAGAAGAGAGGAGAGGGACAGAAGAGAAGAGAGGGTCAGAAGAGAGGAGAGGGTCAGAAGAGAGGAGAGGGACAGAAGAGAAGAGAGGGTCAGAAGAGAAGAGAGAGACAGAGCAGAGGAGAGGGTCA